AAATGTATATGACAAATGATACTATAAGAAATATTGTATTGATATTACCAGTACGTTATACAGGGTATTCCCAAAAGGTGGTTCCAAATTTTAGTGGTATGTAGTACTCGTTAAAACAAACCAAAACCTCTTAATGAACAGTACTCCGAAAACCTTTTATTTCTGAGTTATGAAGCATTTTGTTCTATGAAAAATAGAAAATAACTAAAATTTACATTAAATGTTCAATATGTCCTACGTCCATTTCAACATACATTCGGCACCTCATTGAAGATAGAACACGTTCAAAGATTCTGGGTTTATTCCGTATTTATTGACAACAGTTTTCAATTCTCTGAGTCAATTCATCTATTGTATCAACTAGTATGGCATATACCATGCTCTTTAAGTGTCCCCATAGATAATAATCCAACGGATTTAAATCCGATGAGCGAGATGGCCATACAACTGGACCGCCACGACTTATCTACCTTTCTTGAAAACGATTGGTTAAATGGCGTCTGACATTAACGAGGAAATGAGTAGGAGCACCATAATTTGTGTAAACATTTTTCAGATAACACAAAACTAGACACGGTCCACAATCCAAAGTTGAATACAACAATCCCTGCGTAATTAGGTGGTCATATACGGGCGTCCGTGAACGAACTAAGAGACTTGGAAACTGTTGTCAACAAATACGAAATACCTAAACTCTTTGATCTTCAATGACGAAACATGCCGAAATGTGTATTGACATGAGCCAAAGGCACATTGAACATTTATTATAGATTTAATTTATTTTCTATTTTTCACAGAACAAAATGCTTCATAACTCAGAAATTAGAGATTTTCGGAGTACTGTTCATTAAGAGTTTTTGGTTTGTTTTAACGAGTACTACATACCCCTAAAATTTGGTACCACCTTTTGGGAACACTCTGTATACGTCCAGTGTAAATTCAGTATATTCGAATGATACATGTGCTGTCTGGGTCCAAACTCGAAATATCCATATAGAGTTACTAAAGGTTAAATGTTCGAATACACGTCCATAGTTATCAATACATAGTTGGACTCAATGTTCAAAGTTCTCAACAATCATCGCTCAACGAATATTTAATCGTTGAAATATGATTGTTCGTTCTACAATATATAATAAATAATAGGTCAGAAGGTTAACAAAGATTCCTACGTAATATTTGTGTTTTAAGTAACTATCACTGTTTTAGTAACTTATCATTGAAATATCTAGCAATAAGTATGTATATATTTTGCAATATATTAAATTCCAAGTCTTGCGTATAAGCTTTTACTAACTTTTTCAGAATCATTTCCTATCCCAGCGAAAAAAGTTACGTCGATTCGACGTCTAACGGACGTCTGTATGAAACGGCTATCTATCATCTACGTCTAATCTAAATTAAGATCTGTATCGACCTAAAAACGGTTCACATTTCGATGTCTAATAGACTGTCATTTCGACCTTTTCGATGTTAACTTTAGACGGCCGTGGTAAGACGAATAGACATTGAATCGATGTCTTTTAGACGCTTTAGATGCTAATAGGTATCGATGCAATGTTTATTTAACTGCTATTTTTCCTGGATAAAAGCCTAGTGAGAAATGACTTATTTACGTCTTTTTGACGTCGATCAATAAGTCATTTTTCACTGAATTGTTTCATAAAAAAAACTAATTCCTAATTTTCTTATGTCTTATAACTGCTAGAAACTGAAGATTGTCAAACACACTCTAAAACTTTCGCGAATTCTCCCTCGATAATTTCGAATCCGAAGCGGTCACCACCCATCCATCCTAACTGCGTTACTTAACCTGACGATTGAGCGGCACGCGGTGATTCCAATACTCCAACGACGTTCTTACAATTTTTGCTTATAAAATATATACTTACGGTGTTCACATAATAACGTACCTAGCCAATACACGCGTTGATTCGCCTATCTATTTTATTTAATATCTCTAAAGTTTATGTAGTTATTTGCAAAATGACTTTGACCATTTCTTCCAGTTTAATGTTTTTCGAGTAATTTGACATTCCTATCTTTGTAATACTATAATTGAAACGGAAATCTAAAAAAAAAACTGACGTTTCTACTTAGAATAAATTTTTTACGCAAAACGCGGGTGAGAAATGACTTATCGATCGATGTCGAAAAGACGTCGAATCGACGTCTATTTGACGATTTCGACATCGATTCAACGTCTTTTCGACGTCGATCAATAAGTCATTTCTCTGGGATAGCGATTACAAGCTAAAATTTACAGACAGTAGAGCAACTCGTTACTTTTATATAAAAGAAAAAAATCTTTACGTCTTAGTAAGAAAACCATCTAAAATGTATTAAG